GATATATGGTCTGCATCTGCTCCAATGTTTTTAAGTCTCAAATCCAAGTTTGTAAAAATCTGACATAAATAAAGTCTAAATAAGGCAAAGAAAATCAGCAGTGTTTTAAAATAAGTCACCATGGCTTTAGAAATATTTACAAGTTATACATTAAACCCCTTCACATACACACCCATCCCACATGCCATTAGTTCAAAATCCAAAATGAATGATCTTAAGATATATAAAAGTCACACACCTTCCATCTCACAAGCCTATGTATGTCAGTAGCTGGCTTAATTTTACAGGTTATGGGGGTCAATCAGTTTGCTGGCTCCACCATTCAGTAAGGGATACAGAAGGATTTAATCAGAGGAGCCAAAGGGAGGGCTGGCTGACCAGTCCCCTGGCAAAGGTGAGCACCGCCACTACCATTGCCACTGCCAGTGCCAGCTGTTTAATGGGATGTGTTCGCCACTTCCTCTTTCTTGCTTTTTCCTATTTTGCATGCAATTACAATTAAAATTAAATGTGCTGGTGAAATGCATAGGAGAAATGTGCAGTCATACGGTAGGGGATGCTTATTAGTGGTGAAACCTGCTGTCAGTTGACAATGCTGCAGCATGAATGGGCTATAACAGAGCTTCTTGGGCACACCGGGAAGTTCTGCAGTATGGCCACAATTTTCCTAACTAACTTCACTGCCACTAACATAAGACTTCAGATCACAAAAGGCATAAATGTTTTTTTCAAAATGAATTTTCGCTTATAACCATTTCACATTCCATTAGTTTCACTTCATGCGTGCAATATTATTAATTGATACTAGCTCAGTCACAGCTAAATATACAGGCTCACTCCATGTTTGGCATGCATTGATGGTAATCAGAAGTTAGGCATATTTTCATTATTGTGTAGAAAACTGAGTTTCCTTTTCACATCCGTAATACAGATCCTTCCCATTGAATCTTGCCAGATATATCCCTGACCCCACCCTCTGTCTTACCTGAGTCCATCTTCCATCTTCCCCACAGCCCCACTCACATGTTTCATTACCACTGATTTACCATTGTTGGTCCAAAGCCTCCATACAATTTGTCATTCTTCTACTTACCTCCCGCATGGTGTCGAGTTAAACACAGAAAATCACTAACCTTACATGCAGAGCTGGCTGGTCCAAGCCACCTTTAAACAAATGAGAACTAGATGAGATTCTTATATGCCACTGACTTTATCATGAAAGTGGGTCAAATGTGGACTGTAGCGGTTCAAGAAGGCAGTTCACCACTACCTTCTCAAGGGCAACTACGGATGGACAATGAATGCTGCCAGCCGGCAATGTCTGCGTCATTTTTAATGGAAAAAACATTTTCAATGATTTACACGGTATGAAATGGTATTTGTTATAAGTATGACTCTGCCACAGGCTGGTGTAAAGGCTTGAGACACCATAAACAAGCTGCTGACTTTACCTCTGCAACTCAACACTCTGACAGGAAAGCAAGAACTCACATTTTGCCTAATTAGGTCATCCTGCATGACCCATTTCCCATTCTTGCTGTCTGTATAAAATTTCCCCAGAGTGTGATAATGCTTTGCAAAACGGAGGTGTTGACCTAGAAGTCCAAATGGCATCCTATAAATAGCAGCTAGAACTATCTCCGGGATCAGTGTTCACCCAGAGGGTGGTGGGGGGGGCGCGGTGTGCGGTGTGATACCTGGAATTCGCTGCCTGTAAGTTCTAAAATGCCTGCCATTGTGTTGCACACAACCTTCCTGCTCTGCAATACATTTGATGCTGCTGTGATGTCCTGCCATGATGTAGCTTCCAATGGATCTCCGAAGACTCGAAACAGTAGTGGACGGAAAATATCATAGCAATACCAGAACATAGTCCACTTGTCCTTTTTAATATTTTAATTAGCTCCTGCCATTGATGGGTGGGTAGCAGTGCTGCTTGGACCTGCCTCCAGGAAAAGTGCAGAGGTGAGAGTAAGCCAGATAAACCAGGCTGACACACTTTGTTCAGAATTTAGATACTTTGTGCCTTCAAAGCTGCCTTGGTTTGTCTGAGAAAATTGTGTCCTTAATGAAGAAGAACTTCATAACTTCATTCACTGATGTGATAGCACAAAAATTATCATGGATTCTGGGATACCCAAATCTGATGTTCTCATCACTAGTTATTATAGTAAATTCTGTTTAGTCCAAAATAATTTGCTACAGTGCTCCAATTTAAGAAATGCAATTATGGTTGTTTTATAAAGAAACAGCATTTGATAGTTCAGCCAATTATTAGATTGTTGAAATTGCCTTAAAGCTTCTCTGTTATGTTTTGGTTTCTGTTATGCTTATATTAAGAAAAAAAATCTGGTTCCTCAAGTCTTTGATTTACTTTTAGATTTCAGATTGAGGTGGCAGTTTTGTTTTTTGCTGATATCGAGTGTAAGGTGTCACCTCTTGAAATTATACTGATCAAGTCAGCAGTGTCATTCGGAGCAGATGAGGGAACTTGGTCAATCCTATATTAACCACCAAATGCAGGGCAAAATGCTCCTCTTCCAAATCACCGGTCACTCTCGATATATAAAACACTGCCAAATTACTTACAAAATTTGTCAACTTCTGAACAAAGGATTAGTTTGTATATTTAAAGAAAGTGAGGAATGTACAACCATCTCACCTACATCTTGATTGAATCCTGTTTCAGTCCATTTTTTTTTGTGATGCAATGAGTAATATTTCTCAGAAAACACTCAACCTGATTGCACAAATTCTTTTGATGAGTGGGAATATTTTTGTGAAGAATCTAAAGTTCATCACTTAACTAATCTATCTCAGTGGGTTGTTCATATTCCATAGTTCCAGGGGTGAAGTATATTTCTGCTTTTTCAGGAAATTGACCTGCTGAGATCTAATCACAGCACAGAAACAGGCCATTTGGCTGAACCAGTCCATGTCAATTGAAGGGATGCCATTCACAGAGCTTCCCTGCTACAGAAAATTGAGGAACTTTCCTGTTTGGTTTTCCTTTCTTCTTAGGTAAAGAAGAAGCCACTGAGGCCTTTGGAACTATTGCATAACAGTAAATATGTTTGCAGCATTGAAGGAAATGATTTTGTATGTTTGTAATGCTGTCAGTAACAATATCTGCAGCTTGTTTATTCAATTGATGCTTTAACTGACAGCACTGGTTTGGATACTGACAACTGCATGAATGGCAAAATCTGGAACATTTTTCTCCTCGATTTATGTTTCCAAGGACTGGATTGGAATACAATCCTTTCACTTCTAGGTTCAAATGTAGCCAAACCAAACAGATTACGAGTAAATTTAAAAGTACGAAAGACCTGTTTATTGCCTCGGTCATGAGAGATCCTAACATTCACTACAGCATCACTAACTCCTGTTCAATTATTTTTAAGTGATTCCAGTATATTTGTCTCAATTACTCTTTCTGGAAGATTATTTATAACTATCTCTGTTTATGTGAAAATATTTTCCTGATTACTGCTCTAAAATGATCTTCTACTACTTTAAGAAAAAAATAACCAAGTTGCATTCATATAGTGCCTTGCATGTTCTCAAATTATAATTATAATATAAGGAAACAAAATGGCAAAAATATGCACTACTTTCCTGTGAAATAACTGGTTGACTAACCTATTTTAGTGATACCTATTCTTTGAATGGTATTTTTAACCTTCACTTGACCTTGGCATTTACCATATCAAAATCTTGCATTTAAAAAGCACTGGGAACAGACCATAATGCTTCACATAAGGCTAATAGAAAAAAAAGTCACTAAAACAAATCAGTGAGCAGAGTTACAAAAACAGAAGTTGCTGGAAAAGCTCAACAGGTCTGGCAGCATCTGTGAAGAAAAATCACAGTTAATGTTTCAGGTCCAGTGACCCTTCCTCAGAACGCTGAGCAGAGCAGAGCTAATTGGAAGTCTGGTCAAAGAGATGGATCAAAGATGTTTCTCCTGTGCACTTTGCTGCATTTTTAATTTTAATTCCAATTGCAAACTGGGAAAATGCGTGGAAGTGGAAGTGGAAGTTCTGCACACTTCCCATTAAGCACCTGGTAAAGTTTTCATAAAGAAATGAGGCAATGGAGAGGCATAAGCAGAAAATTCGAAATTTAGTTTTAAATAATGGAAGGCAGGTTTGCCAGTCATGGCGTGAAATGATTTTGGGAAGCAGAAGAGGTCAGAGACGGTGTGCAAACTTCAGTTATTAGACTGGAGAAGCTGCAGAGCAAGCAGAATGAGGACATGGAGGAATTTGAACATGAGGAAGTGAATTTTAAAACTGAGGTAGAACAAATAACTGCAGATGCTGGAGATCTGAAACAAACAGAATCAGAAATTGTTGGAGAAACTCAATTGACTTGGCAGCGATTGTGAAGAGAGAACAGCATTAACATTTTGAGTCTAGTTCTGAAGAAGACCAAGTTGGGCTTTAAAGATGGAGCTGGTGCCAGAAATTGCAGAGCTCCTGGCAGTGGCAAGAGGGAGGAGATGGTGAGTGGGGCATCATAGGCACCTGGTGTATAGGTTTAGAGGCAAGTTTGGGGAGATAGTGTAAGAAATCGTGCTAGGCCTCACGGAAAAAAACTTTCTGTGAAACTTGACAAAATTGAAACTTAGCCAATTTCTGCTTAATTTTACTCTGGGATGTACAAAGGCAGAACAATCCAGAAAGTTAAGTATTTTGTATATGGTGAGATTGAGCACTACTAGACACTCCGTTTAGGCAACTCATGTAGTTGCTTTGAAGTTAGTTATATTGAGTTCAGTTTGCAGTTTGTTTTAGTTTATTTAATGTGTTTATTGTTTGGTAAATAATTTATAGTTATCTTAATTGCCACCACTCTTAAAGCTGCAAAAAAGCATTATTTTCTTGGTTCAGTCTGTGGAATGGGCAAACCTGGGAAATCGATTATTTGATTTTTCACTGTAATATCAAATAGTTATAGTGAAGCTAGTTGTATTGACCTTGTATTTTTGTTTGCAGCACTCTGGCACACGTCTGGGTTACCAAAGCAATGTACAGGGTTCTTCCCAATCCCAGAACGCTACAGGATATTCATCTTCAACTCAGCAGAGCTCACAGTATTCACACCAGTCCCACAGGTACTGATCAGCATTGCTGACAGAAAGGACTTCAAAGGAAAGCCTTCAGCAATATTATGGTGAATGGTTCCAATGAGAGGAACCTAATGAATATGACTGACGTATGTAAAATTTATTGTATTCAGAAGTACAAACTGGCATTATTTAGCAAAAATTGTTAGAGAAAACATTGTTCATATAATAATGTTCTGACTGTCTGGAAGTTCTCAACTACCAATGCCACTGGAAAGGTTCCAGTCAAGGCCATTTCTTTAAAGTTGTGTGTAAATATCTTTTAAATAATTTTAACTCAGCACTTGAGTTTCTCAACTAAGGAGCAGGTGAAATGCGTTCACTGTTTTTAGAGCACTTTTTGATGTAGTGACAGGGTTTCCTGTTGCTTGTCCTAAAATCTAAATATAGGAATTGTACTTTCTAGACATGCAGCTTAAAAAAATTAATCAGTTAACTCTTCAATCACTATTCTTCAATTCTTCAATTGCTCTGTTTAATAGTTTCAGTTATAACAAATGTTAATTGTAAAACGTTTTCAAAAATGATTTTGGCCGCAAATGTGAAAATCCATTCTCTGTTGTTTTCTTCCTGCAATGCACAACACCATATGTACATGAAACTACAGTTTTACTCGATGTAATCTGCCTGTTGATTGTACTGAATATTCCCAGCACTGAAAACTAAATTCCACTTTTTTGTGCTCCCAATGTCGCGCTTCATGCATTGGGTCGTACGTGCAGAATTTTGGTGTGGAAGACAGAAGCTCTGGTTGGTAACTGGAATGAATTTCTATTAGTGAGCTATAGGAGAAAAACTGTGCAAGCTGTCAATCAGTTGCCTCAAGCTACATGCCTGAATGGCTAATATGTGCTTTCATTAAGCAAAACCCTGGGCAAGGTTTTAACTGACTAAAAACCCAGTTACTTACAGCATTAAAATCAGCCCCTCCATGCTGGGAGCGATAAATTGTAAATATAATTCCATATTTCTACCACTGTTTAAAAAATTCAACCAAGTGTTTCTCCCTTATCTTCACAGAAATGTGCCCCATCTCTTTGGGCCTCCAGTTGGCTAGTTTCTCAGGGAATCTCTAGTTTTCACTACTTTTCAGGTTTTTTTTTTATATAAAGCCCATATGTTTCACAGAGTTTGTTTCATTTCTAGCAGCACAATAGGGACTTCCAATGCTCCAATTGTCTGTCTGTGTTAGAAATTAATTCTATGTCTAGGTTTGGAAGTGAGGCTATAAACTAATTGAAGTACTGAAAAGGCACAGTACATGGATAAAGCTGTCTAAAGTCGTCTTCTAAGCAGGAGATTAGGTTAAATTTCTGCTTTTATTTTGTTCTTGCATATATAACTCACAATGTGCTTAGAGTAAACTGTTTACTTTTTGGAAGTTTCAGGGCTTCTTACTTTGGGGAATATTCATTCTTCATGCAGTTATGAATTAAATTCACAGAAATATAGTCACTGCATTGAATGCCCTTTACTACAAGTTTATTGGAAAATGGATGAAGAAAAAGGTAAATATCTGTATTTATGTTGATTAAATGCCAATAAGATGTCAGTTTGGTGAATTAGCAAACTGTCATTTTATCTATTATTTTAGTGCATTGTAACATACAACAATTGTAAAAGTGGAGTCTTTAGACAGGACTGACTCCTACAGTTCTATTTATACAGTTACAGCATCTTGAACTTACTACCTGCACAGATTGCATGAAATCTACATGATATTTCTGTTTCACTCTTTTCATTCAAGATCCATTTGTGAAGCCACAGGTAATGGACATAAATTAACTTGACTTTTGGCTTAATTTAAATACTGCCTAAAAATAGGTTCACAATCATGTAACTAAATCTTCTGAAAGGAAACTAGAATAAATGAGAGCCTGAATAGTTAGAGAATGGAATTCATGCATTGATCATCTTGAAATGGTGTCCTGTCAATGTTAGGGAACAATTGATCCAAGCATTCAGTGTCAATATTCTGTATTATTTATAACAACTATAGAATTATACAAGACAAAATATCCTTTAGAGCTTATTTTCACCTCTATAGGAGACAATATTGACTTCATGACTGCAGGTGATATTTTATCTGATCACGGTGCTGTAATTATGTTCACGTGTAATTAAGTATTTCGACCATTTTCAACATTTAGTTAGTTTTATTTAGTTATTCCAATATGTCATAGCTGAACTTACTTCAGTGAAAATGATAAGCAGTTAATCAACGCTCTATACTATCAGTCAGCTATATTATTATTCTGACTCTTGCTGGTTTCTTAGTATAAAGAATGTAAAATGGAAAGGATACTTTTAAAATAACAAGTCCTCATTCAATAAATTCCAGTATGAAAATACACCACTTTCATTCTAGATGAAAGTCCAGAAAGTTGATTATAAAATGAAGTGACTGATTACCCAGTGTTTTATGCAGTCTTCAGTTTCTGTGCACCATTACCTGTCTTTGGGATTGTCGATCAGGCCTCAGTCGATCAATCTGACACTGCTACACCCTGATATTTCTACTGCTTAGGACAAACATGAATCTTGACTGACAATTTGTGCTCAGGAAGCAATGTAATCAATAACTTTTATTAACTATTTCATACTTTTAAAGTATAACATTGTGAAAAGATTTGTTGATCTTTTCAAAATGTAATTAGAAAAAATGGGGTTCACAATTTAAGAAACTCTAACAACATTAAAATGCCTATTTTTAACAGTGCAACAAATCTAACTTGAGGATTTTTATTAGCCATATTTCAAATTATTTAAAAGTTCATTTCAGACTGGTCAGGGAACAATTTCAAGAAGTGCTGACCAGACAAAAAGATTATCTGTGTACAGTCTGCCAAGTCAAACATCCACATTGAGGTTAAACATTTGTTAGTGTGCAAGTTAGTAAGGCGTGAACTGTTTCTCCAGTGCACCATAATCTGTAGGGCAATGTCATGTCTAAATTCTTTAAGGTAATTTTGCTAGTATTGTCAAATATTTACATTATTCTGCACAATATCTTCAATGCTTGTAAAATACTCTTTAAAACCTATCACCACTCTCTCAACTGTGCCTGTGAATTGCTAAACGCCTGTTTACGAATGCTACAGTACGTCCTGAATGGTCATTACAACTGGAAATGTTATCTATGTTTCGCTCTCCAGAGACTGAGCTTGGGAGCATTTCCAGTATTTTGTTTTGTTTCTGTTTCAGATTTCTAGCATCTGCAGTAGTGTCAATATGTCTGTTCCTTGCTGAATTTTAAAAGAACAATTTGAAGCAAAAAGCACATTAGTTACTTCAAATGATCTCAATTTTAGCAAATAATTTTCTGCTTCACCATGTTATTTCCTTTTTTTCTCCTTTAGTCTTTGGGATATGGGTGATCCTGATGAGGTCAGCATCTATTGTCCATCCCCCTTAAACTGAGTTGCTTGCAATTTCAGAGTTCTGTAAAGAATCACCCACATTTCTGTATGTTCTGAGCCAACCACAGGCCTGATCAGATAGGGAGAGCAGATTTCCTTCTCGGATGGATTTTGTGAGAATCAGCACTGGTTTCATGATCAGTATTACATTTCAAGGATAGGTGGTACCACCCCCCTGTAAACTGGGAGACAGGTCAGACCAGGCAATCAGGCAGTGCACAGGACGTGTGCTTTAGAAGATGCACCAACTTCAAACTCACCAGAGTGTAACCATAAAATTACATCCCATGTGTAGCTGTAAATATTGGCATTTCTAATGAAACAAGTCACTTTATCAAAGGTTCTCCAATCAATTTTATTTATACTTCAGCAGCATTGATTTTTAAAAAGGCTGTGTATAATTTTGTGCTGGCTATCCATTTTAATATCAGGTTATTTAAAAACATTCAACTTTCTTAAAATGTATAGTATCCTTTGGGAAGTTATGCAGTCACATGCATTAAATTTGTTACTTGGTGGTGCTTAAAGAGTTAACTGATTGTAAACACAATAGTCCAAATATTTAGTTTCTTGCACTAATAGTACTAACATTTCAACTCATCCTCCAATCCTGCAAAAACACCCTTATTGATTGTCTTACAGTTATGTAATGTGTAACATTGAACATTCTTGCAGTTAGTGTAAAACTACAGTATAGCTTGAACATAAGTTTTTTTTTAATTTAATGTCCCTGGGAGTATTAGACTTTAAACACACATAAACCATTTCAGTGGATCACAAAAACTGGTGAAACTACAAGCAGGGAAAACAATCTGACCCTGAATTTTCACAAGTCCCTTCATAGCTTGTGCAGTGACTTCAGCAGATCAGCAGAATGACTTGAGAAGCAACATAAACAGCCATTTATGTAATTTGTCCAGATGTTCTGGTAGTCGACCACTTGAGATACCTTTTCACTGGCTCTGGCATCCTGTCATTAGCCTGTCTTTAGCAGACCATTGTGGTAACATTGAGTTATCATTTTTGAAAAATATTATCTCAATTAGTAAAAAGAAATTCTATTAATTTTCATCCCTTGATTGAATATAAAACTCTATGTTTGATTTCTTTAAAATGTTTCATTAGACAATAACTATCTTTTTGAATAAAAACTGAAAGAACTGCAGATGCTGTAAATCAGGAACAAAAACAGAAGTTGCTGGAAAGCTCAGCAGGTCTGGCAGCGTCTGTGAAGGGAAAAACAGAGTTAAGGTTCCGGGTCCGGTGACCCTTCCTCAGACCCTGCTGAGCTTTTCCAGCAGCTTTGTTTTTGTTGCTATTTTTTTGAAATTTAGTTTTAACATTTAAAAAGATGAGATGAACGAAGATGCTACATCTATGGTATACAATTTTAAAAAAACATCAGACCATTGCAATGAGTAATGATTAGCCGTATCACTTCTTGTTTTTGTTTGGAGAGAAAAGGAATACATTTATAAGCACATAAAATTGATTACATCCCTTGGATGTTAGTAGTTGGATGCACCCAGTACTGCGAGAAGGCTAACTTAGTATTAGGATGAAACATATATTTTTTTCCATTAGGAAGTAATTACATTGTGTTAGGATACATCTGGCTCTGAGCTCCACAGTTGGAATCAGCACTGAGGCTGGATAGGAGCAGGGTTGGATGTTGATTCAATTAGGGAAGGAGACAAGCATTCTTTGGTGTTGTGACCATGAAAGCAATTTGGAGCCCAGATTTACTCAAAAGGCTGTCCCATCACACAGAGGGAGTGTGGAAAATACTGTAGGATCAAAATGGAGCTAAGTAAGTTTGTTTCGAGAGAATTATAATAATATTGGCAGTGCTGAAGGATTTAACTTTGTCCTTGCTCTTTGCAGGGGTTGTGGTAACCAGAATGCTGACATTTTGCATTATGCAACAAATATGAAGCAGGTTGAAGTCACACTAGCTGTTCACAAGTCCCAAGTTAAAGAACAAAAAGGCAGGAAGGAATCAGCAGGTTAGGTGCAGAGTGTTTTAAAGAAACCATGAACGAGGAGAGATAATCTTAAAATCAGAGCTAGATGAGTCAATCATGAAATCAGAAAGCAGGGTCTTCACAAAGAATGGTAGAAACCTCGAATTCCAATCCCCCAAAAGGACATGAATCACTTAGCATTTTCAAGACTGATCAATCGATTCTTGTTAGCTAAGGGTCTCAAAGGATATGGAACTAAAGCAGGTAAATAGAATTTAGGTACAGATTAACCATGATCTCATAATGGTAAAGATTTAAGGGATTGAATGACATCAAATTGATCTCTAACCCTTTCCTTCAATTCAACACCAGAGAACTGAGTTGAAGATATACCCTTCATATCTAAGTACAGGTTATTTGAGCTTCTTTACATTAACCAGCTCAGAACTAAATTAAACTAGACAAACCAAATCTATAAGTCCTGGAACATTGCATGTTACTGAGTAAATGAGTAATCCTCATCTTCCCTGAGTCATCAAAAACCAGGACGTTTCAGATATACATGAGCAAATATTATATTACTACTTTTTTGACAACATAGTACCACCATAAGATTAGCTGAAAGCAATATGTAAAATAATTGAGTATCATTAACTGACACAAAGTTATTAATACAGGCTTTCACATAGTTTATTAATATTATCATGACAGCTTAATGTTAGCTGTGCTCCATTTAGTTGCTATCTGGAGCAATCTGTTTGTTTCAAGAATGCCTCTTAGAATAATTAAAACTTACAGCATAGAAAGAGACCTTTCAACCCACCATGCTGATGATGAAGGAGCTTTCTAATTTAGTTCCATACAATCCTGCACTTTCCCTAAAACACTGCAAATTAGCCCTTTTCAAATACAAATCCAATTGTCTTTTGAAAGTTCCCGTGGAATCTGATTCCACCACATTTTCAGGTATTGTGAACTGGATGTTAACAATTCTCTCTGTGAGAAAGTTTATCTTCATTTCTCTTATAGTTTTTTCAGCAATTATTTTATATCCATTGACTCTGGTTACTAGCCCACAGTCGCTCTCTACGTGCTCTGTTAAAAAAACACTCACAATCTTCAATATCTCCGTTAGGTTTTCCTTTAACATTTTCTGCTTGGAGGAGAGAAATCATAATTTCACCAATCAGTTTATACAACTGAGACCCTTCAGCTGTGGTAACATTCAAGTAGAAAATCTCTGTAATCTTATTAGACTGTGATGCCCTGCACTATTGGGTGTTCTGTAAACCTTCCTTATATGCTTAACGTGATAAGATCATTTTTTGACAAAGTCCGTGGAAATTGTGTTTGAGGTCTCATCCATTGTAAATGTCAAAGATGTTGGTGGGAGCCATAACTTGAATTTGAGAAGCCATATGTAGCAATGCGCTCATTGAAGGGCCAGAGCTAATTGGCTTTCTACGATGACAATGTGAAGGGTGATTTGACTATAGTTGGTTAAATGAGGTTTAACTGTAATATCTTTCCAAAGTGCTTTGTGTTTGTTCCCACAAAGAAATCTACCATCAGAATGAGCATCCAGCATTAATATCTATGATGTGTGTCCTCACACTATTCTCTGAGGAGATAACACTCTCTTAAAAAATTATTAAAGATCCTGTTGGCAATAAAGGAAACCTCTCTATACCAGGTTTTATGTTGTCTCCAATTGAGATGTCTCATGGTTAATACGAAAATCAAGA